CCAAAATAAAATCAGCGCTCTGAGCAGATTTATGTAGCATCAGGTTTCTGTGTGACCACGTTTCCTTGGAAGCGGGCGCTTGTGCCAAGTCTTCCATAGGGGCGTGTGCTGAAAGCATGTGCAGGGGTTCGACCCAGCAAGGGGTGGGAGGCTGACTTGTGGGGTCACTTATACAAAGGTCATTACGTCACACAGGCAAGCAAACATTGAATAGTAAGAGCAGTAGACATTCAGAAAATATTTTGGGGAACGTCTGACATTTCAAGATCTACATTTATATATCTAATACATTTTTATTATTTATATAAAAAACATATTTTTTTGTTTTTGAAAAAATCTAATTTCTACAACTACTTTTTGCAGCATAGTGTGCAAAACATTGTCTGCACGGGTTTTGCTTCATTTTAGGGGGTAAAACTAAAACAAATTATTAATTAATTATATTTATAGAAAAAAAGGGGTGAAAAGAGAGAAAGATATCCGACAAGGTTTCCTTTACACTTCTTTGCACTAGGGGTGTGGCCGCATGGTGCAACCATGACACGGTGTTATAGACAGCTTCTGGGCCTGTTTCATGGAAATGGTCAACACCTTCACTAGAAGGAAGTATACTAAAAATACAGATGTAAGGCTCCATTGCCTTTGACAACCCAAGATGCCTGTGGCGGAGATGATGTAATTTAGCTCCACTCTAGTTTAATCTTGTTTTCAATTCCCATGTAGAGCCCTTGTAATGAGACAGTGTGCGTCCCAGGCCTTGTCCCCAGAACACCTACTTCTCCCAGACCTACTGGAGTCTGCCAAAACCATCTCCTCCTCTGTGATTTGCCCTTTTAAATATTACTATGACTGCTGCCTACGGCATTACTCACGAATGATACAAATAAGATTTCTGTCAGATCAACTGGAGGCCTGCTTATACCTAGAGATGTTCAGAAACCATTGTGTCCTTCCTGATACCGCTTCTATATACCTGAATCTGGATATCGGCCAGTACTGAGTATACTGATATGATAAGGACGACAATGGAAGTAGCTAACAGGTGAGTAATCTCGCTTCTTTCTCATCTCTGCTGAGAGTTGCACATGTGCGGCACCAGTCGAGCGGGGTGTACAGATCGGGTAGCGAGTGACACGTGTTGCTGTTGTTCGTAGCGTAAGTGATGACATCGGATCTGCGCATAGACTGGCAAACCTGATCCGTCATGTATGGGAGGCATTTCCGATACTGGTATTGTTATCAGAACGACTCTACTTATACCTTCTGACTGCCTCCTTTCAGCTGAGTGGTTAAGGCTGTCTTTCTGATAACATTTTACTGGTGGATATTTGGAAGAAGCAGGGTATTCTTTTGGGGTGTTAGTGTGAGCTCTGCCAGGCTGCCACGTCAGCCTCAGGTAAGTTTCCAAGCAGAGGAGACAAGGAGAAAGGGCAGTGTACCGCTTAACTCAGTTACTCTGTCACAGATATCAGTGCACTGGGCAGCCCGAAGTGATTGTCTGAATGTACGCGTGCGCGTGTGTGTGTGTGTGTGTGTGTGTGTGTGTGTGTGATCTGAGGGGAAATCAGTGCAGAAAGATCTGCAGATTGCCCCGGGTCATATGTGCTGCACTGGTTAAGTGGACATCAATGATGCAGCAGTCACACACCCACACAAAAGCGAGCACATCAAACCTCTTAGTTTCATCTGCTGAGCACCTGTAGGGTAACAGGGAGGCTCTTGCATTATTGATGGTCTTGTCCTGTGAAGCAGTGAACTTGCTCGACCTGCAGGTAACTTTACACCCAGCAGTCAAGCGAAAACAATTTGTTAAAGTAAGTGCTAATAATCAGACTAAGTGACACTCGCATGGAATGTGCTTACAAGGGATACCGTTACAGAGTCCTACAAATGATCACTTGGAGGCCAGATTTTGATGACTGGGGTCACATGGTTCAACGTAATTTCATGTGCAATTTTTGTTTTCACAGATGATTTAGTAATTGTTGTAAAAGTCTGAAGAAACAAAAAAAAAAAAAAAAGAGCCATATTACATTCTCAACACTTTTAATAAGAAACAATCAAGCATTTTCTGCAATTACGTTTTATACCCGACTACTGTGGGTCATTCGTTTTTCTTTGAAAAAACAGCGCTGTGGAGCCCAGGGGCAAGTACATTTGATCCAAAGACAGAGCAGATGACCAGTTTTATTAAAATAATTCTGCATACAATAATTTCACATGCACCTTTTCCACCAACTTAGATGACAATTTCAACAAGAAAGTAATATTAGTAATGAGATGAGTTTGAGCAGCAAGCCTGTGAGCAGACAGACATCCGCTCCAGTGCCTGTGAAACTGGGAGATGAACCAAGTGTTAATTCTCTACTCAAACACGCCACCCTCAAACTGAGTCTCCAACCTCACCAGTGACTGTGCTCTGTGGCAAACTACCAGACCGACTATACAGAATTTGCACATGTGAGTGTGTGCATATCTGCAGCCTTCCCTGCCCTTGAAACAACACCCCGAGGAACAAAACAGCCACAGCTATCTCGTCCCGTCAAACCAAGAGGCTAGCCGCTCATGGCGAGCTCGCTACTGAAAAGATCTCGGGGCTCTCGTTGGCATCTTTGTGCACACTTTGTTTCTTCCGGCAGGAGAGTTATAAAACACAGAAATGAGTCATAAAATGCAGGTAGCCTACATACTGCAGATCTTCAGGATATTTGCTGGCCATGGGAGTTATTGCCTTCCTGGATCGCACGCCCGGGAGGCAGCAAGCCATGTAATATGTGTGGTTGCCCCTAGCAACAGGGCTGAGTGCACAGAAATGTACACACATATTCTAATACAGAAAGAGATAACATACATGTTTGTTTTTTATTAAAGATATTTGGTGTGTGGCTGCCATGTGGTCACGTGGATTGTTATAGTGCCATAAAACCACCCAGAGCGCCTGCATGAAGAAAAGGCTGAGAATAATTTAACACTCTGGCTCTCTAAGTGACGTCTGCTCTCGTCGGATTGGATTTCTACACACTGGTTCTCTTCTACTACTAAATAATGTGTGCTATAACACATTATCCTTGTATCCAAGTGTAGCAATGACAATCATATAGTTTAAAGTCTTAAATCTGTTTGACTTCAGGAAGTACAATAGGCGACTGTGGCTCACTGGGTTAAGAGGGGTTCGGAAGGTCAACGGTTCGATCCTCGACTAGGACGTGTCACGTGTCGAAGTGTACCTGAGCAATACACTGAACCCCAGGCGCCTGTCATTGGCAGCCCACTGCTCCCTATATACAGGGATGGGTCAAATGCAGAAAGGGATCAATATAGTATAATAAATAAAAAAATAGTGGTGAGTTATGAAAGGTCTGAAAGGAAACTGATATTTGACACAACATTAATAAAGGAAATTATCTTAATAAAGTAAGTAAATATCGAATGAATGAGAAGCTTCTTGTACATTAATTAACAACGCATTACTTGGGAAACTGGGGTCACTGCAAAGCACAGATGTCAAAGGTCACGAAAGAGCCTCACTAATCCGAACCCCAGTGCCTGCTCGGATCGAGAATCCTCAGACTCATTTCTGCTGTTACGGCTTCTGTGTCATCCGTGACGTGCTCTATTTAGAGAGCCTGGCAGGCAAACCGGCATGTAAATAAAGTTTCACGCTTAGCAAGCAGGTAAGCAGTGGCTGGTGGCACATAGCAGAGGACTGAACTAAACTGGGTCGCAGCCAGAACGCAGCGCAGCGACGATCCAGGTGTAAACCAGCTAGCTCTGCTGAATCACAAGCACTCGTGGTTATGACGCCTGTTTTGTCAGTCAAATGCATATCGAACCCGCGAGTGCTATAGCTCATTTCATTCTGAAGATTAGGACTGTTCAAGTCAATATAATCTCACAAGCAAGTGAACGTATCTGAGAGCATGAAAATAGAAACACATGGGCGTCACCACAGTGTGGCATCATGACTGACATTCAAAGCTATTGGACGAGGTAAACTCTCATTGGTCCGTTTTTTTATTGGTATAAAGAGCTTATTGGTAGGAGAAGAAACAATCATCCCGGCTTAATGTCTCGATTGGCTCGGCTTTATTTTGTGTCCATTACTTTGGTGAAAAAAACAACAACAAAAAAAAGTAATACCTACCTTAAAAGTAATAACTCAATGTCAAAATGCGTGCCAGCTATGTAAAATGGGTTGCCAGGTTTGTGCAAGCAATCAGCTGTTACTGTGTGTATCTCTTGGTCTGGCAAAGACCGATGGAGATGTGTTGCCTTTGCCCCCAACTCCTACATTTCCCATCTGTCTCTGGGCCAGAGCAGGTCATTGTTAATGGCACAGTTAATCGGCTATACTATGAACTCAGTTCTGCTGGGTGAATTACACTCACTGACAGTATGTCATGATGTCGAAACATGTTTTTTAGATATGTCCAGTTTGGAGGAAAAAATATCTTTGATTTTATTATTGCAGGTAGAGAATAAGCTAAAGTTTAGTTCTTCTCAAGCGGTGGGGAATAGTGACTCACTAAGTGGAATATTTAAATCATACTGACTCGACTGCAACATTAAAATTAGATGAATTAAATCAGCCACCTGCTGCTGCTGTTTATTCAATCGTGACTCGACTGAATTCGACATTTTAGTGGCCTTCTTTGAATTGATACAAGCAGATGAAAAGACTTAAGCTCTTCTTTTGAGATCTATTGAAACAAAAGATGCTGAGCTTCTATTATCAGTGTAATGTTTTTTCTTTTATTTTGTGAGTCAATATGCTTTGATCAATATTTAGCTTGACATCAACATCACAATAAAGAGATTTATATTTTGTGTAAACCACAGTACACTACAAAGAGAGCAAGACTGATCAGAAAAGAGGCCGGCCTGGTTGACACCACTGCATATATTGGTGACACTGCGCATGCACTTTAGTGTAATGACAGGAAAGGCACCTCCTCGCCAACACACACGTGACTGGCAACAGCTGGGCTTTGGTTACTTACGTCTGTGTCCGGCCCCTTATCTGCCCCTGGGCAGCAGAATGTGACTAATTCATGGCACCTCTTGTGGACCACAAAACAGCAAACTGCAAGGAGACAAAAGACGAGAGGAGGGCGTTAGCAGAGAGAAAGAGAGAGAGAGAGAGAGATGGGCAGAGGGAGTCAGAGAAAAAGAAATATACAGACAGATGGAGACAGGCAAGCAACAAAAAGGAGAGAATGTTAGAATACAGTGTATCATTGTTGATTGATATGTAAAGAGACAGCAAACAGAGAAAGAGATCTGATAACACTGGGAGGGATTGAGAAACCACTGATGTCTGGGCCAGGCTCTTTACCATGTGTCCAGATGGCCACTCCTGCCCGCAGGCCCACTGCTCATATTGCACAGAACAGTGCCACCTCCTCCCTGACACGACAGGAGCTAAGGCAGACAGCGAGCGTGCACACACACACACACACACACACACACACACACACACACACACACACAC